TAGAGGATCTTCGCTGTACAATTAGGTATTTAGCCCATTTGAATGCATTGAACCAGTTTTCAATGTATTTCAATGGTTTTTTATTTTCGCTTGATGAGGATTTCGTTCTACAGCAATTTTGCTGGAACAGATTATCCTCGTCAAACGAGGCACCACTGTATGCTATAATATCATTAATTACTATGCATTGGAAGATGTAGCCTGCATGCTTCATGGCACAGTGGTTAAACTTCAATACTGCAGTGAAAACTCTGTTTACAACCTGAATTTGATCCCAGGCTCAGGTAGCTGGCTCAACGGTGACTCAACCTTCCAAGACAGCCAATGTGTACCCTATATAATTAAATTGTAAACTGCCCAGAGAGAGCTTTAATCACTATGAGGTAATATATAAGCAGCACACTTTGCTTTGTGTGTGTCAAGGAAAGCAACAGAAACTTAAGACTACTTTCCTCCAAACCTTTTTGTTGTTGTTGTCCAGTTGTTAAGTCGTGTAGCTTCAATGACACTGTCCAGCCATCTCATACTCTGTCGTCCCCTTCTCCTCTTGCCTTCGCTCTTTCCCAACATCAGGGGCTTTTCCAGGGAGATTTCTCTTCTCATGAGATGGCCAAAGTACTGAAGCCTCAGCTTCAGGATCTGTCCGTCCAGTGAGCACTCAGGGTTGATATCCTTCAGAATTGATAAGTTTGTTCTCCTTGCAGTCCAGGGGACTCTCAAGAGTCTCCTCCAGCAACACAATCAAAAGCATCCAAACTTTTGTATTCTAAGGTTAATCTGAACGTTGTCTCCCCCCAAGTTCTACTGTTTTAGCACCTCCCCACAATTGTCCACCACTGTGCCACTAATAACTCCTTGAGCAATTCTCAGCATACATGTACAGTACTGTGACTACCAGGAATCGATACATAGTTTCCTTTACTTGTATAACCATGTCAGATCACAAGAAAGTCAGCTATGTCACAGTGCATTATATAGGTCTCATACTGAACATGTGGTTTCCTATGGAAGAACTGATCTGTACATTTGTGTGGTGCCAAACTCACAAAAGTCTTAATGGATTCACAAAATCTACTCTACCCACATGAGTCCCAAACTGCACACAGTTCAGCAGGTTATCAAATAAAGAATCCATTGAAATTGGTTGAATGCATGCCATTTACAAGATAAGAGTCAGCACAGATTTTAAAATCACAGTGTTTTTATTTTGCCTTCTTTCTTTCCATGTAAAGAAACTTTCTGTTACAGGCTTACCATAATTAGATTTGCTTTGCAGAACAACAACACTAAACACTAGTTCATCTCAGCCAAATGCAAGAATGACTAATCTCAAAACATCTTTCAGTATCATTATCCAATATGCCAGTTTGGCTAGCACCAACATAAAGAAGCAGTAATCACATGCCCACAGCTTTTCTAGAAAATTATTTGGTGAACTTAAAGAAAAAAAAAATGAAGGAATGCAGATTGATTGTTTTGACTGAATACAGAAATCCACCAATCCCAGTACAAGAAAAATTAAAGACTTAAGCAAATTTGCTCCCTAAAATAATTACTAACAAGGCAGAACCAACCTACTAATGAGAGAGCTGTTTTAGTTGTGCTGCATTGAAACCACAATCTTTATTGCGGCACCTTAAATATGAAGAAGGTCCAGTTGGCACAGTTTAACATTTGTGGACTTTAACCCACTAGATAAGGCACAGACTCACATCATAATCTAGTCCATGTGGACCAAATGAGCACCTTTGCAAAGGTGGCTATGGAGGTAGACCAAGTTGCTTCATGCTCTGTGAAGTATGTGCCTCTCATTATCTGTATGATTTTCACTTCTGTATGTTTTTTATATTTAGTAATAAATACAAAGTTTAACGTAGTAAACTGTCATTTTACTTGTTATATAATTTAACTGTCGACCAATTGCTTTCCCTCACAATTCTCAAAATCACATTTACACCATTCCCCGTCTCACCTTAAAGAAATATCAACCAACAATATAAATGCTCCAAATTGTTTTCCAAACCACGTGTCTCGAGATTTATTTTATTGGCATATTTTAATAAAGGCTTCCAATTTTCAGTGAATTGACTGTCCCTTATTTCTCCGCTATCTAGTCTAACGTTATTAGTCATGGATAGAAAAAAATCACTTCTGTATGTAAGTAATTGTTTGCATAACAATATTATTAAAACTTAATTTTATAGCACATTTCTGGCATTCAAAACATTTCATATACATAATTTCAATAAACATTATTCCTAATTTTAAGATATGCATTTGCTGTTGCCTCTGTGTTGCAGATAGGGCACTAACACTGAGAAGGTAACTAATTTGCCTAAAGCCACCTCATGATTTCAAGAGAGGGTGGTAGTCAAAGCTTTCCTTTCTGTGTAGGGGAAGGGGATGTGATTCTTCATCTGCCTCTCTCCTGCTGTAAAGCATGCATAGACAGAAGTTACATATCCAAAACAAAATGACACATTCATCCATCCAGGCTTTGACTTTGGAAACAATTCTGTTTCCAGATTCTCATGTATTCAACCACAGTAGGGCTGAAGTAAGGTAACAACCTGGTTTTTCTAAAAGGCTAGCAACAGCTTACCCTTTTGAACTTGCTGGAGCAATTAGAAGATTTTACTTATTTATTTACTTAGCTTTGTTTTCAAACTTACTAAAATTCACACATTTTTCCAGATTGTATTCAACCACAGTAGGGCTGAAGTAAGGTAACAACCTGGTTTTTCTAAAAGGCTAGCAACAGCTTACCCTTTTGAACTTGCTGGAGCAATTAGAAGATTTTACTTATTTATTTACTTAGCTTTGTTTTCAAACTTACTAAAATTCACACATTCCATCACACTCAGGATGAAAAGAACTGAAAATGAGCTTCATCATTTTAATTACTGGATGGCCTGAATCTAAAATACAGCAATGCCTGATTGTAAGAAATTAGACCTAAAGTTCTCCACAAACTCTTAATTATCACATTTGTAAGAATTCTAAGCACCAGATACCTACATCAGAATTTAAAGACACAGTACACAACATTTTACTTCCCTTTCTACCTTGAAACATGATCATATGGAACATAATAAATATAACTGTCTTTAGCATGCTTTCTGGAATATAATTTGAATTCAAGTATGAACTACTTTCATGATGGGCAATGTAAAGTAGATAGGATCAGGACTTGACAGGACAATTCTAGCATTTTTACTCAGAAGTAAGCCCAACAGAGTTCAACAGGCCTGATTTTCAAATACATATTATTAGACTGCAGCCCACATCTCAATTTTTTAGATTATCTTCATTAGTACAAAGAGTTATTATCTGTTCCTTTACAATTTCCAGATGTACCATGCAAGATATAAACTTGAGATCTTGTTGCTATATGCTGAGCGTGACTCTAGGGTCAATGGAAAGCAACTGGCTAGGCTCTGTCTTAGATCAGGCAGAGGTAATGCAATGTGGCCTTCAGAACAGATAGGGATATCACTCCACAGAATCGAGTCTTGGATCAGCTGCTGCTTAATAAAGATTAATTCTATTTCTGAACATGATTGGCAATAAAAAAAATTCCCCTCCATTGCCATAATGTTGACTAAACCAATGACTAACTCCATCTCTCAGCATAATAGCAAGACCACAAGAGGAACAGATAAAGATAACTGCCCTCCCACCCACAAATCACAAATGTGCCCATCTACATAGCTACATCCATCAACAAGAACTCTGGAGAACAAAGGGGGTAGAGTGGCTTTCTTGATAGGACATCTTGAACTCATTTCATGACCACATCTTCTAAGGGCTTCTCCCAGTAAAATATTTCAAAGTGGGAGGATGTACTACGTCCAGGCAACTATTTCATAGTCCCTTGTTAAAATAGGCATAAGGCACTTTGTCCCCATGTTTGGCCACAATCGACTCTCTGAGATCAGGTTCCAGGTGTGAAAGGGCAATTGAACTGCAAAGGAAAAGATGAAGACACCTAAGTCATTTATGTCACTCAAAGCTGCCTGGCCTAATGTGCCTAGGAGAGACAAGCCTGACTAGGTTTCAAAAACTCAAGCAAGATTTCCTATTTTATCACAGACTACTTTTATGTGAAACTGGACTAATGGCTTTATCTTGTCATGTCTTCCTTCCTTCCCATGTAACAGTCTAGTAGGAGAGGAGGATGGCAAAGAAACAGGAATAGTAACCTTACATATTCGTATTAGCTGATACTATACAGTATCCTGTATTTTAAACCTGACCCATCTTAGAAACAGGGAGCTTGTTTGTTTGATTGATTTGTATACTGTTCCATAGTGCATGCACTAGCTAAAATCTATTTTTAAATAGAATTAAACAAAGGAAAATATATTCAAACATCTTAGGTACTAAAAGCACTAAAAGTAAAAGGTGACTCTAAATAATACTTTTAAAAACTAATTTCTTAAGAATTAGTCTTAAAAACTAAGAGGAAAGGTGTCTGATGAACCCGTTGGTAGCTTGTGCTAAAGGGAAGAGGCCATGACTGAAAAAGCATGATTTCTGATCTTAACTTTTTTTTCCTCCTTAGGTGTTAAGGAGCACTGTGTTGCAACTGCACTTAAGTACTAGCTCCACTATCATCTGCCTAGAGAAGAGGCCAGACAATATGGAGCAGAAGCTGTCAGCAAATGGGGTTATCTCCTGAGCAAGTTTGCCTTTGTCTTCTCCTGAAGAGCGAAAAGGAACAGATGGAGGCAGAAGCTGAATCAATATAAAATGCCTATTCTCTCTTTAAGGCCACATGTGGACATCATAATATGCTTATCCACAGAATGCCATATTGGTGGGGATGCTTTGCAAGGCTGCTTCTAGGGGCATTATTTATTTATTTAAAATACTTGTTCCCCATCTTTCTCCTTACCCTGAACAATACAGTGAAATTAACATATAAGTTCTAGTCAAAAAATAAGTACTACTGGTGAGTTTCCATAGACCACATCTGGAAACCAATGATTTAGTAGACAATGTCACATGCACATATGGAGTCCATTATTTTGTTTGTGTATGAATGGGTGGAGGTAGCATCATGATCTTAAAAGCCACACAAAACCAGATCAATGGTTTAGTAAGCTAAGAGATCAGAGAACCAGACAGAAAGCCAATACCAGGTCATTTTTTCTATCAGATTTAGCACTGGGACCATTAGGGCTTTAGGCAGAGTAATACAGGAATGCTTCTTAGAAATTTCTTTTAATTTAGTGGGATTTATTTCACAGGACATATAACCAGGAGTGGGTTATAATTTGGTCACATTTCTGTGCGGTTCATTCCTGTGTGAAAAAGAGTGGATCTTTTTTTTTTTTAACTGTATTTCCTCACCCTAAAATGATGGCTAAATGGCTTATCTCCCAAAGATACTTGATAACACCAGCCCAGAAGATATCAGACAAGCACAGTTAAATATAAAGAGAAGAAGTAGGGGGAAAAGAGACGAATACATTTTGTACCTCCTTTGTGGGAAGAGTGCACAGCCTATTGGGACCATGAAGACGAGGCTGCAAGACAAAGTAAAGCTGTTACTAAGAAAGATCAGTATTTGTTTTCTATACAGTGAACTCAGCCTTATTATCCCTAGTTCCAAAATAGCCAACAGAGAGGCATTGATGGTGTCAGAATTCTTTATGCTGATATATTTACATGCTGTCTTAGCTGCTCTCCTTTCCGGAATGTCAAATAACATTCACCGAAATATTTTTTGCACTTCTAAACCGGATGCAACCTATAATGGCTCTTAATGACTGCCTAAGGAATGGATCTAAGGCAACTCAGCCCACTAAGCTGGTTTCTAAGTTCACTTCTAGTCCTCTGCTCATTCAGTTCTATACAGGTCATATTCAAAAAACTACATCTCCCAGGAAGCACTGGGCATTTTTCTTTTTTCTTTTTTCTTTAGGAGGTATGTTTGAACTAAGCTGGTTTCTAAGTTCACTTCTAGTCCTCTGCTCATTCAGTTCTATATAGGGCATATTCAAAGAACTACATCTCCCAGGAAGCACTGGGCATTTTTCTTTTTTCTTTTTTCTTTAGGAGGTATGTAAGAGGCAACCAGGAAGACAGAGCCTGTTCCAGGTGAATGAAATGTAGGTGTATGTCTACAGGCAGGAATTCCCAGAACTTTGACTGGGAAATTATTGGGAAATTCTGGGAACTGGAGTAAAACACACACACACACACCCCAAATGACACACCCTTACTTGTTATTACCATGCCAAGGGATTCTAATATTCACCATTTCCTCTTTCTCACACAGCGCACCTCATTCACATATGAATTAGATGTTGGCCCGAAGTTTCAGTTTGTTACAGATTATTAATTAATTAATTTACAAACATGTATAGATTATCTTTCATTTTTTAAAAAATCCAAAGCATTCTACAAAATGAAGACGTATTCGATTTTACTGTATTGTAACATGCAGTAAAACAATATGCAAAAGCAACAATAAAAAAAGCAAAATATATCAAGTGAATGGAAGTTGACCACAATGATTCTAATATATTTCCTCTTTCTCACACAGCGCACCTCATTCACATATGAATTAGATGTTGGCCCGAAGTTTCAGTTTGTTACAGATTATTAATTAATTAATTTACAAACATGTATAGATTATCTTTCATTTTTTAAAAAATCCAAAGCATTCTACAAAATGAAGACGTATTCGATTTTACTGTATTGTAACATGCAGTAAAACAATATGCAAAAGCAACAATAAAAAAAGCAAAATATATCAAGTGAATGGAAGTTGACCACAATGAGGAAAATACCCAGGCAAACAACTGTTTCCAGCAACAGAGAACATGCTCTACAATGAAAAAATCATTTCATATGATGGGAAAGCCCTTCTCTACCTCATAACCAAACAAGCAACAGCAAGCAAGATAGCCTTCTCAAAAGCTAAAGGATTGGGAGAAAGCAATCTCTTTAAGATGATCTAATAAGAGCTGTCTAAGGCCTTACAGTGCCACCACGTCCTAAGGGATGTGGTGGCGCTGCGGGCTAAACCTTTGTGCTGCAGGGTCTTTGCTGCAGGGTCAGAAGACCAAGCAGTCATAAGATCGAATCCACGCGACAGAGTGAGCGCCCGTCGCTTATCCCAGCTCCCGCCAACCTAGCGGTTCGAAAGCTTGCAAATGCAAGTAGATAAATAGGGACCACCTTGGTGGGAAGGTAACAGCATTCCGTGTCGAAGTCGCACTGGCCATGTGACCACGGAAGATTGTCTTCGGACAAAACGCTGGCTCTATGGCTTGGAAACGGGGATGAGCACCGCCCCCTAGAGTCAATCACGACTGGACAAAAATTGTCAAGGGGAACCTTTACCTAGGCCTTACAAAGGGACCTTAATGCCTTGAACCTGGGCTTTCAACACAGTTCATTCTTGAAGTTACCAAAGCATGGGATGGTTCGACCGTTAACTAGCAGTGACTGCAAAGCTTTCAACACAGTTCAGTCTTGAAGTTACCAAAGCATGGGATGGTTCAAGAATGGTCCTAGTTGCCACACCAGCAAAAGCTGCTAACTAGTGCTCTTTGCGTCCTCTGCATCCATAATTAGCACTGGGGATGTAATATTTCTCAGTATGAAACTAAATACTTCACACAAAGGTACAATAAAAAAATATTTGAAAATGTTCTGCTTCCAACTTTGAAGACAACTGTATAAAGATTATCTCGAAAAATCTAGCAGCTTGTATCTACGGCTAGAGCGGTACTGATGAAGGTGACATAAGCCAAGCAACATCATACTTACAACCCTCCAACGAGTATTGTTTGCAGTGGAGCATGGAAAACCCGGATTTTCTGTAAAGAAAGCAACATATGAGTTAGAACTCAAAGTGTCAAGCTTTTCTCTGGAGAGAAAGTGGGATCGGTGAATTTTAGGCTCAGTAAAGGAATTTAAATCTACTGAGTTGTATAAACTAGGTTTAAAAAATGACCATTTTGAATAATGTTCAACTATTGGTACCTGGACCACTATAAAACAAGAGTTGTGGGAAATTATTGGATTTTTATATCTTATCTTAGATTTGAACTCATCCAGCACTGTACAGATTCAGGAATGTCTAGAATTAATCTAACACATGGTTGACCAAATCTCCTGAGAAAAAAAATTCTAAGTCTGCGATGTTACACTGGAACATTGTAATGGAAACTTGTTCTGTTGTCCAGTTCTCTTTTATCTTTTCCTAGCACTCAAACTAAATCTGTGCTCTTGCAAGCAGATCCATTTTCTCTTGGTCCTTCAACAATGACCCCGTTGTTCTGTTCACTGTCATGTGGCCTGCTTATACATGTACTTACTCCAGTACAGCAAATCTGCAACTTAGTTTATATACAGCTTCTCCATTTCTTTCAGCCATAGTAGCTTGTGTGTTAAATCAAGGATTGGAAGAGATCTGTGGTACATTGGTTAAGCCTTCAAACACCTGATTGTTTCAACAACTGCATGAAAAAAGTCAATACTGAACAAAAAATCTTGGTTCCAAATTATATTGCTAGAATGAAAGGCTCCTAATTCTACCAGTCAAAATACACTATGCAACTCTTCCCTCTTTCCTTTTTCATGGCTCTCCTCTGATAAGAAGAAGAATGCAGGGAAATGAGACCATAGGAGGTTACAAATTTGTCATGAGACTATTTACTCTCTTGTAAAATTCTGTGAATGAAGCTGGGCACCTGAATAATAAAGCCCCACCAGGAAACACTCAAACAAAACAGACCAAGAAAGACGGGATTTTGTATGGAAGTGCTCTGAGTTCCCTTCACAACACATTCCCGGACTTGGAATTCATTACATTTCAATGTCTGCCTTTTATATTAAGTTTTACTTTGTGGATCTTTGGGTTCTAACCAAAACAAGAAAACAAAACAAAAGTATGTTCCATAAAACTGGGGCACCACCACTCCCATCCTAACAGTATAAAAAGATACAAAATAAACTTTTGCCATATAATTTTCCAAACTTCTCAAGATATCCAATATAAAAAGAATTACTCAAGAGTTGTGGGAAGACAACACTTCCACAGCTACTTACACTCATAAAAGGGTATTTTTCAAGTTTCTCCATGATGACAGGCAACAAAACTGTAAAGAGATAAACTATGTGAGTTATGCCCATACATCTTAACCACTCAATTGAATGCTATACAAAATGCAGTCATTGGATGCAGTCACACACACTAGCAAACCCTCTCTCACTCTCATACACACAATGCCTCTTCCTGCATCAGCGTGGGGAACCTCTGATCTTCCTGATGGTAAGATAATAACAACTCCCACAAACCTTTGCCACTGGCAACTCTGATTAAGCTTTCTGGGAACTGAACTGAAGTCCAAAGCATGTAGAGAGGCAAAGGTTCTCCATTCCTGTCCTAGATTTGACCAAGAGCTTGTGTCATGCTAGCAAGACACAGGGGAAAAAATTGAAACTGCCTCTTTTCTATGAGAAAGAGAAAATAACTTTTTCATTCACCTCTGACCACTGTTGCAAATGTTCATAACAGCATTTCAAATGGTTCATCAGCTATATGTATATATGCACTAAGGCTTTTTCCATGGCCGTAGGCATTTCTTAGTGTACACATACACACACGCCACCCCTTCTGTTAAGATAATGTAAATAGATTTTAGCACAGAATGGGTAAAAAGCATAGTTTTAAGAAATCTGAATAAAACAATACTATAATTCGCAGTAAAATTAAAACCACATGGGAGAGTAATTTCTAGACAAGAGAAGTGGTCCATCTCTAGAGGATATCAGACCACTTGGAACAAGATGAAAGACAATCTGTTCCACAATACAGGTGCAACACCCTGTTATGATTAAATGTATTTGTTTACATAGCAAAAGTAAGTGTATTGTTTTGAAATGTATTGGTTTGTTAAGTATGTAATGGGAGGGAGTGAGGGGCATGGAACATTGGTCAAAATAGTACTTGTTGGCTGGGAGAAACTAGGGGAGTAGACTCTTGGTTAGATTTTTGGAGCAGCCTGTGAGGTAAAGAGAGATTGGGCAGAGGGAAGTATATAAAAAAAGAGCCGAATGTTTGGGGTGGGGGGAGAGGTGACAGGGAGAGTAAAGAACTGCACTAAATAAATATAAATCCTAGGAATAAATAACACCTCTTAGACAATGTTATTTTAATAAACATCTTATTAAGTTAAGAGGTGTAGAGCTCAACATATACAAAGGGTATTACAAGGGCTTGAGTGAAGGAGCAAATACACACTCATAGGTGCAACTAAAGGCTAGTGGCAGCGAAAGAAGAAAAGAGGAAATAAGTGAAGATGGCTGTAGAAAAGACATTTATTCCTGTTGTTATTTAAAGAAACCATCATATAAATAGTTAAGTGACAAGACAAAGGAAGTTCTGACATCAGTATATGAGAAAGGGCACACAGAATGACATATGATATACAGATAAATACTGTAGCTAAATACAACAGAAATATTATTTTGCAACATCTGGTAATTAAAAATGAAATGGCATTAACATCATGAAGCTGGGGAAAGGGAGTACAGTCAGCCCTCGACTTACGAACAGCTCTACTTGCGAACAATTCAACTTACAAACCGCCTGATAGGGAAATAACATACTCAACATACAAACTTCCCTTGAGTTACGAACAGAAAAAAGGGCCCCCTCCTCTCCCCACCTGAGCAAGCCTCCAGAAGCCTCTTAAGAGCCAGCCGATCAGCAGTTAGGCGGGGAGAGGAGGGAGTAGGAGCGGAGAGCACGAAATGGCTGCCAGCTCCCTGCTGGATGTCAGCTTTTAGCTGTTTGGTGCTCTTTTTCCTGCAGTTCGGGGGCTACCAAGGCCTGGTAAGTGACTTTCTTTTATTTATTTTTAAGTTTCTGACCTTCCCCCCCCCATAGGAACACATTAATTAATTTTCAATGCTTTCCTATGGGAAATTTGGTTTCGACTTGCAAACGTTTCAACTTACGAACATTAAGTTTGTAAGTCGAGGCCTCACTGTATATTATACAGAGCCTATGGGACAGAACAAAACCTTCTTGGTGTTAATACAAGTTGGGTGTCTTGGCAAAGAAGCTGCTCTGTGAAGACCAAAGCAAAAGCCAGAGCTTTTGGCACGTACATACTAATGCATCCTTCTGTACCACAGAGCCTTGCAAGACTACAGGGCAGAAAGTTCATTTCACTTCTGGAAGGAAATTAAGAAAGGAAGAATTGAGAGATGCCTGCTATGATTTTGGCAGCTTGGATGCCAGCACATTGGCAAGGAGAGGGAAGGAGGATGCAACACAAAGGTGCATGACCTCCATTTAGCCCAGAAGATCCACATTGCTCACCCTGTATTTGAGGTCCCATCTTAAGACACTTGCCTTACATAAAGCTGAAAGCCACTCATTCTCCTCCACATTTTTTAATCTTTTTTTAAAATAATTATGAAATCTCCATACTTAAAACAGAAAATTCAAAACAAAAAACAATTATACAAAAAAGTATTCCCTTCCACAGGGACCATTTGGAGATAAAATCGTTTTTTCCTCCATTTACGGAGCCTCATTCTCTTTCCAAAAATGTACTGATTCTTGCTAAAGTGCACAACCCCTTCCCCATTATTAATACAAAATCTATAAATTGTCCCCAAATATCTATATTATTTATCAAGCTCTTCTTTATCTTCAACTTATCATTAATAGCTATATTTCAAACTTCTTTATATCACTCATTTAAATGGAAATCAAGTTTTGTTTTCCAATTCCTTACCACCAATAACCTTGCCACTGCTAACAAACTTAAGATCAATTCCTGCCTTGCACGATTCCATTGCTCCTTCTCAAATATTTTTTTTTATTCTGAGCTCATGCTCAGTTGCTTAGCAACCCGCATGGCATCTCTGGCAGCCATCCCTGGAGGTGATGCTAAAAAAGGGAAAAATACTAAGTGCTTACTCATCCCAGGAGCAGCCATGACAATACGGGAAACCACCACTTGGGTTATCCCCTTGATTGCAGCTTTCTGGAAAAAAGAAAAACAAAGGTGTCATGCTTGTTCTTCAAATGGTGATACACAGCACAGAAATAATATTGGAATACTTGGCACTGGCAAGTAGGGCTGGTTTGAGAAACTGCAGAAACCTAGCCCTCGTTTAATTAAAAGCAGCAACATGACTTTGAAGAACTTAAAAACCCCGGTGAAGACATGCAGCCCTAAGATCCTATCTCAGTTCTGTACGATTTCAGTACTCAAATTGTCTCAGTACTGTACTATTGCATGGCAGAGAGGGAGTGTTTGGTTAGTTCATAACATCAACTGGCTGACTCTAAATTTTCCCCTCAGAGATAAGAGTCCATCCAAAGACAAAAGAATCTCACCCACTTCTAACAGCAGAGAGATTTGGACATATGATAATGGTGGAAGAGAAGACCTGGATGAGCATGGAGAAAATGGCTTCATGAAAGGCTTTGTGGAGTATTCTAACTTGGCTTTCTTCTCCTCAGTTCCAACTTATCTATTTATTTGAAATATTTATACCCCACCGTCTCCTCAAGAGGACCTCATGGCAGCTTATAATATTAGAACAAACAACATTTAACAATTAAAAACAATTACAAAATAAAAAAGAATTAAACATATATCAAAGAAAATTAGTAGATTAAAAAAAAGTTTTAAACCATTCTAAAGATATGTTAATGATAACAAGGCAACAGTCCCATTTTTAAAAAAAAAAAAACCTCTTAGGGAGCCAGATACAGTACTGAGAAAGAGCCTACCGAAAGAAGAAAGGTCTTCCCTGTCAATGGAAGGATAGCAAAGAAGGGGCCTCCCACAGAGCAGCAATAGAGAAGGCCCACTCTCATATCCTTACTCAATGCACCTGTGAGAGAGACCGGGCTAAGACAAAGTCCTCCTAGATTACCTTAAAACCTGAGCAGGCTCATGAAGAGAGGCGCAGTCCTTCAGAAAGCTTAGACCCAAGTTGTTTACACCTTTATAGATCAAAACTAGCACTTTGAGCTGTGCCCAGAAATTGACTGGTAGTGAGGGGAGCTGTTGCAACAAGTGAGTTATGTGATTCCCTTAACCAGCTATAGTTCACCTGCTGAAGTATCCAAACACTTTCCAAAGGCCGCCCTGTATAGATTGCACTACAGTAATCCAAATAAGATTTAACTAAGGCATGTGTCGCGATGACCATATCAGACATCTCCAGGTACAGGCTCAGCTGCCACTCTAATTTTAACTGGTCAGATACACTCCTGGTGGCTGCTGAGGCCTGGGCGTCCAGGTTCAGGGATGTATCCAGGAGCACACCCAAGCTGTGAACCTGTAACTTCAAGGGGCCAGAAACACTGTCCAACTTGCTATATCATCGTCGTCATCGTTTAGTCATTTAGTCGTGTCCGACTCTTCGTGACTCCATGGACCAGAGCACGCCAGGCCCTCCTGTCTTCCACTGTCTCCCGGAGTTGTGTCAAATTCATGTCGGTTGCTTCGATGACATTGTCCAGCCATCTCATCCTCTGTCGTCCCCTTCTCCTTTTGCCTTCACACTTTCCCAACATCAAGGTCTTTTCCAAGGAGTCTTCTCTTCTCATGAGATGGGCAAAGTACTGAAGCCTCAACTTCAGGATCTGTCCTTCCAGTGAGCACTCAGGGTTGATTTCCTTTGGAATGGATAGGTTTGTTCTCTTTGCAGTCCAGGGGACTCTCAAGAGCCTCCTCCAGCACCATAATTCAAAGGCATCAATTCTTCGGCGGTCAGCTTTCTTTATGGTCCAGCTCTCACTTCCATACATCACTACAGGAAAAACCATAACTGTGACTATTCGGACTTTTGTTGGCAAGGTGATGTCTCTGCTTTTTAAGATGCTGTTGAGGTTTGTCATCGCTTTCCTCCCAAGAAGCTGGCGTCTTTTAATTTTGTGGCTGCTGCCACCATCTGCAGTGATCATAGAGCCCAAGAAAGTAAAATCTGTCACTGCCTCCATATCTTCCCCTTCTATTTCCCAGGAGGTGATGGGACCAGTGGCCATGATCTTAGTTTTTTTGATGTTGGGTTTCAGACCTTTTTTGCACTCTCCTCTTTCACCCTCATTACAAGGTCCTTTAGTTCCTCCTCACTTTCTGCCATCAAAGTGGTATCATCTGCATATTGGAGGTTATTGATATTTCTTCCAGCAATCTTAATTCCAGTTTGGGATTCCTCCAGTCCAGCCTTCCGCATGATGTGCTATATCATATAGCTTGTTTTTCTGTGAGGTTTTGAACTGGGTTCAGATTGAGATGGTGAATTAAAAGAAATATCAATGCAGTGACTGCCAGACAGGTAAGGACAGTCAATGGCAACCTGAAAGCTTGCGAGGGGAGTGGGCAAAGAGGCAGATGGCACTCCTTGAACCAGTTGCCATTGGAGCAGCCATAGTCTAAGGTACCTTTTAAAAAACACCTTTAAAAAGTTCAATGAAGGCTGAGGGGGGATAAATATGGCATAATATTTGCAGCCTGGAGGGTCTTCTCACAAATATAGGCTCTAAAGCCAAAGAAGTAGGTTGTGTTTGGTTTTAAGGATGAAAACCTGACACAATGAACCAGCTTCAACCTTCAACCTCTTGGCCAAGCAGAGAAGGTAAAGGGTATGTCAATTGGAAGGTGACATCTTACTTCTGCAAGAATCACACTTGTAAGAAGGGGCTTAAACTGAATGAAACAAAGAGAAAACGGCAATGGGACTAGGTATAGTAGGAAATTAAGAAAACAAAAGGAGAGAATGAAAGAAAAGGAATGCCTTAAAAGCAAAAGAAAAATATTTTGAGACATGGAAAGGAAGTTCCTATGAGGCTAACTAGCGCAGTGGTCAAAGAAGAACTAAGGGGAATTGGGCCAAGGTACCTAAGCATGTGTAGTAAGATGCAGAGCTGCCACCAAAATACTCAGCTTAGGGGATTTCCAAATAGAACTTTGTAGAGACCGCAATGAAGAACTCAACTTCTGCAACCAAAAATTGAAAAACACTTTCCCCAAATCTTTGCAATGCTTGAGGATTGCAAATAACAAGGCACTCAAGACTGCCAATAAAGAATCTTCACTACATTTGAATTATCTTTTTTTTCCTTTTAGTGCAATGGTTCCCAACCTTGAGTAATCTAGGTGTCCTTGGGAAGAAAGAAGGCCAGGTCTGCCAAGGAAAGTTAACTGTTGAATCTTGATGCATCTCTAGGTTCCTTGGAGGACCAGTCATGTAGGTAAGACCAATTTCAAATGCCCTACCCACCAAAACAAAAAAGTAACAATGATTTTCCTATTCTCTCATCTCCCTGAAATAAAGGTACTTACCCTGGACTTGCCCAGAGTGTTGTCATTCTCATCTGTCACTGTGATCCCATTAATGAGTTCTCTAATGCAGAGAAAAGAAATAACCCCAAGCGTTATGACTAAATGGCTCGATTTTGTAACATAAACATTTCTCCAAGCCAACCGCGCCCAATGTCTCAAGAATGTTACTTCCTTTATACAGCACAGCTTGTGAAGACCAGAACACTGAACCTTCAATCCCATTGTAGCAATTTCCCAAGAGCTAGTCAGCTAGTCTGTATCAATATTTACAACAACAACAAACAAAAGAATTATTGTACCTGAAAGACTAATAATGTCTAAGGAACTGGACTGGACTCATATTGAATTAAACCTGTTAATCTGCAGGTTGTTTTTATTTTACCACCAATCATATGTTTCTCACACTGATGGCAAGAGTAGATGATACCATCAAAAAAATTACAAACTAAAAAATTACAAACATAAACTAGCTTTCAATCTCACATGGGTCTTCATAAAGCTAGGCACCACAGAGTTGGGATGGTGGAGATGAAATACAGAAGTTCTATACATCATGACCAGATGTGCAGGCCAGTCTTTTCTGTTAAAGCAAGTTTCAAAATGGAGGGCTCTAAACGCAGGTGAGAGCTCTAGGTTTCCGACTTGGTCTCAGGTGGTTCAGATTAAAATGTCTCTCCCATTCCCTTCCTGCTTTTAAGAGGATGCAAAAAACTAGGCTGTTTAGGGGCATCCTCAGTTAAATGTTCTCTTAGATTTTGCCACTGCCTTGCTATTATTTAAGTCTATTATTCTCAATTATTTTGCTTTATTTGAAGATTTGATGTCTTCAGTTCGTTCTATTTATTGTTTCTTTTATGTAAACTGTTGGGAATAGTGCCTAGCACTAATTTGTGTTGTACACGTTTTTGAAACAAAACAAAACAAGACAAAGGGTTGCCAGTTACTCAGTATCTCCCTCCCCTACAAGATTTTTAGAACTTCTGTTTTTCCTCTATTTTTGACTTCTAAAGGTTTCTTCCTCCCAGTGTCCCAAGACCCTCAAAAACTTTCCAACAGCAAAAGAGCTTCAGTAGGGAGATAGGGAGATTCAGAACCCAAAACAGGGAGAGAATAAGCCTTTAATTGGGGTAAATTAAATGGCTCAGGTGCCTAATCCAGAGTACAATGCACTAAGTTACAGGATTTCCACCACCGAGTCAACATCATAATCACACGACATTGGCAGAGCACCATAAGGAAAATAGAAGGCAGATCAGGATCTACTGCAGTATCTTTGTAAACAGGAGCTTCTAACTCCCAGCTGTAAAGAAAGAAAAAGTTCCCTCTCATTCTAAATTAGACTGCTAATTAGACAAAGAAAGGAAAAACCGGATAAGATTTCTTTACATAATGTTGTAGAGAAACAAATACTTCCGAGCATGTGTTCAAAAGGATTCTTGTTTCGTTAATTTTAAGAGTATATCTACTCCCCCATTCAACAACCACAATTTTTAAAAATTCTACCTGGCCAATCCCAGGTTCTAGTTGAAAAGAGTATTAATCCCAGAGTAGATCCCACAAGCTCAACATCATCATAATCTGCAGCTATAGTGACTCCTGTGCCTCTCAATCAAACTGCTGGTTTTCAAGGCTTCTCTTTTTACTACTGAATTAACAAGAAGAAACCTGTTAACTTCGTGATATGTAATTGAGATCTAGCAACTTTGTTAAAGCCTTTGTATGCCATGCTGTAAATCTATCCTTAAATTACTGAGCATTTGAAACAAACAGGATGGTGCACTGCTGCCGTCTGGTGGCCCTAGTGAAGAACTTAAAAGGCATGTCTGCAAAAGAGCCATGGGGTTTATTTAAAGTAGCCAAAGGTTACTCATCTGAATGTTAAAAGGGGTATTAGAATAAATGTGGAGTTAAAGGGGAAAACAGACAGCATATCTGCACTGTGACAGTTAACTCTCCCTTTTCCTGAAAAAAAAATCTCAGCACGCATCACTTTCAATATTTACATGCATGTGGATTTCAACGTGCAGAAGCTGCCATCAAAATGTGACACACAATATCTCATCAGATCACTGCAACAGCTTCTACCACTGGGTTCCCCACATATGCTTATGAAACAGGATTCTGGTCAAGGTGATCGCTCTTGTTACTTCCTTAAATTGATTTTAAAAGTGTTTGTACAGAGCCTCTCGCACTGTAGGATAGGCACATTTAAAGGGAAAATCCCCAACACAAATGCAGAAAAGTACTTTAAACATTTTCAAGCTTGAATAGAAGGTGGTATCTGAGAAAAGATACTGAAGGCAGGCAATGTTTCCTTTTTAATCCTCCATCAATAAAATAAAAAACCCATACTATATCTGCTCCTATAAATAGAGCCATATCTTGATTTGAAATAGCTAAGCTCAAATCAGAGCAGCTAAAGAAAAGAGGTTTCTAATCAGGATTATTCTCTGCTGTCTTTAAATACATCTTGTAACATGCACCATTCATAAGGGAATCTATCCCAGAAGAATATCAGCTGCTTGGAAGGTACATATAGCACAATATTGTTAGCTGAGGCAGATGCATACAGCACAGCACATTAGAGTAAGATTTGTAGACTATGTTCATACAGTATCTACGTACTTGTCATTCTGTCTTTGGAACACAGAAGACTGTGCCTTGTCAAAAATACTACCCCCCCCCGAGTAACTTCTGCATCTATTCAGAGATCCCACAAAGGATGTCCACGTGGTTGTAGTGGTGCATTTCTTAAAATTCACAGCATAAGCACTATCCTAGGTTCAGACGCATATAGCAAAATCCATGGTGTGCTGAAAGAACTCAGCAGAAAGGACAGGAGAAGTGATAAATTTACAGAGTAAGCCCAGTCAGTGGAGCACATTTAAAGCAGGAGCTCTAAAGCTCAATCCTTGCCCAGCAGCAACAGATTTGAATTTGATACCATTCAAGGGAGCTTTTCAAGAACAAAGGAAGGGTGTGTGCTAGTGTCTGTCCTCAGCCATGTGGCAAATATGACTTGCAACTGAAATTTAGGTGGCATCTCCAGTTACATTAACACAATCATGTATGTGATTATTTTATTTTTGCAGAAAGAGGAAGACAACATATAGAATTTTATGGTAACACAGTGGAATCAGGAAAAGGTTTCTCTGAGACATACTGGGTCAAAATGCATACCTCAAGCCAGCGAAAAATTCCTTCCACAGCACACTGTATGTATAGCTACTCAAAATTAATTTAAAACAAATTATATGAACAGTAATAACCAGAAGTGAATTTTAAATCCTCTCCACCAGATTCAGTGGTTATCGTTTTATCTTTTTTTAAAAAATTAGTAGGTGTCATCAGGCTTCTGTAATTTTGATGTTACACGGGACCTGGCTCTAGACAGTAGTGGACATTGAATCCTATCCTTTCCTGCACATCTTTATATCTCCTGTTTCAACTGAAGTTTGTCTTGACTGTTCCACACTTTAGTATTCAACTATGCTTTTAACTATGTTGTTACATATGGATGGGTACTGCAATTAAGCTCACCACAGGCCACTGGATGTACATAAAATGAAAATGTGATCATGGACACAGTTTAATGGGCATTTTGTATAACCGGGATACCATAAATATATATCAAACATAATAAAAAAGAGTACTAGAATTGATTTTCCATCTGAATTACCTATGTCCTAATTTCCCTCCTGATCCACTCCTTATCTTATCTCAGACTTAGAATAAGCCAAAAAAAAAAGATATAGCCAGTTGCCTGCAGCTACCTGCCCCCTAGTCACTGGTTGTACTATTGTGATGTCATGGAACTTTTAATTAACTTTGTAACTGTATAAGCAAAGATGTCAGCAAAAGAATGTTGACAATGCAACTTCTGTGAGAATAACTAAAGGTCACCTGGCTGGGAGGAAAAACATAACATGAGGGCCAAGAACAGACAGAAGAGGGAACATCTGTTCTTGGCAAAAAGAAGCAATAGAAAGAGATAAGTTAAAAAGCACTTTTAGGAGGGGAGTTCCAGGGAAGGATGCAAAAATAAGGAATACATCAAGGATCAGATGCCTAAGAATGAAGGACAGTTTAAATGGATAAAAGGGGCAGAGAGAAAGGCAACATTCTGAGCAAAATCCTATTCGTATAGGTCCTATGTAACATTACATCTGCATAAATGTGCCAGGAGTCCCACAATCTGTTGCACGGTTCCCATTTAGACTGATTGCACAGTGCACTTATGGAAATGCTTTGTGCATGATACTTTCACCTTGGTGCAACGAGCGTTATCTCTTGCATAACACTGAGTTACACAAGCACAGTTGCTGAACAGGACTTCAGCCACTGAGAAAAATACGTTCTAAGAAGGAAAGGCAGGTACAGAATCTACACCAGGACATGTGAAAGGTTCTTAGCCCTCAGTTTTCATCAACTCTTATTGCTGACTATGTTGTCTAGGGTTGAGAGGATTCACATTCCAATATCTGGAGGATACACATTCACCACTCTAGATCCAAAGAAACCAATGGTGGTTGGATCTTGACAGGAAGGGGGAGAGCACGTAACTGCTACAAAGTATAGGAAGCTGTGCACCAGGGAGAGAGGAGCCATTAGGCTGAAGCAGTGGTGTAGCTGAATTTCTCACACAACTGGATAGGTATTATAAGTCACATCCTCAGTATCATCTGTCATTTCCCCCCCTATATGACAGCATTTAAACCATCACCTTACCAGCTCAGGATTAACGTCTGTACATGTCTTTTAAATGTGCGTATTTCTTTTCCCTGGAATTCTGGCTCAGTTTTTTAGTTTTCTGTCACTGATCACCACAAATGCTGGGTTTGTGACATTTGATACAGAGCTGATAAATGTAATTAAATTTGCTGTACAAAATGTTTGCAGTCTTTTGATAGAGAAACAAATTCCTGGGCTTAACATGTGCTCAGAAGTACAGTACTGTACTCTTGTTCCTTTGAGCATTGTAATGAGATTACAGAGTAGCTAGACTGTGGGATTATGAAATATTCTGGTCTAGTGTTGGACAAGAAGACAATAGGTATAATTAACTGAGTGTACAGGCAACAAGTAACAATCAACATGGTGTAGTAAAACACTCTTAACCACTACTGGGACTTGAGAAACATATGTTCTGAGCCCAATGGGCCACAATATTCAAAAAGTCATCTTAGGCCAGTCACCTTCTTTTGGTCTGACCTACAGTGGGGTCTTGATTTAAGAATGGCCCGAGTTAAGAACATTTTGACTTACAAACCACTCTCATAGGAAAATATTGACTTGACTTACATACTTACATTTGAGTAACAAACTGAAAAAAACCCACGTGGGAGGCAGGGAAAGTGCAAAATGTGAACTTTCAGTTAACTGTTGGCCAGTGAAAAGGGTGCCTGTCTGCTTCCTCACTCCTCCCAGCGTTTAGAGAGGGGATTGGGAGAGAGTCTTCGGACTGCCTGGTACTGAACTGCCTGGACTGTATTTTCCCTGCCTTCCCTGAACCTTTCTTGACCTAAGAAAAAAAGAAACAAAATATCCCCCTCTAGTGGTCAAAGGCGGAATAGCAACTTCCCATTAGTTTCTATGGACGGAAAAGAGCAGATACGGATCAAATGGTTTTCAATGCATTCCTATGGGAAATGCAGATTTGACCTGCGAACTTTTTGACTTGAGAACTGCCTTCCAATATGGATTAAGTTCTCAAGTCAAGACCCCACTGTACTTCACTGGGCTGTTGCAGTAAGAGCAATGCATGACACCTTAAATTCATTGGATGAAAGGTGGAATAGAGGGATACTGAATAAAGAAACAAATGTATTGATTCAATTCTACCTTGGGGAGGAATCAAATTGCAATATTTTTATTTTATTTATTTATTTATTGTATTTATACCCTGCCTATCTAGTCATTTCGACCACTCTACAGGGAGAGAGTCAGTATAAGACTTCTGGCTCTACCAGCCATGCAAAGAGGTACAGGGTTGTGTTTAAGTGCTTTAAAAAGCCACTAAAATAGCAAGTGCAAACAGCAACAAACAGTAGGGATTACCCACTTTGACAATATCTCCAGCTAAGCCTGGGAAAAAAACCTCTCTTTGAATGTACCCCATCACAAAAGCTGTGCAAATTCCAGCTTCCATCTATCAATCAAGATGATCTAATCAAAGATATTATCCATCACTTTTTGACTTGACACATACCATTCCTTGACCTGATGTTCAATCTCCGATTTTAGAACTACCGGCTGAAATGGAGGCCCACAGTAAGGAATTCTTCAGAAGCAAAGATGCTTTTGGAAGGAACAGAGAAGGAATGTAACCCTCTGGTGTTTTTATTCCACTATATTTTTTTTAGTTTTCTAGTGACACTGGAAAATATGTGTCTCAATCAACTACTATTAGGTACAGACTAAAGAATGCAGGTGCTCTCATTCCCAGGCAGTTATTCTTCCCACTAGATATAGCTGATTTGCTCATTTTAACCAAAATCTTGTGCCATTTATCATTAGCAAAATATGTCATCATCACATAAGGGATGGGTGATACATAGCCCAAGCCACTTGGCTCTACCTAGAAACTTACTGCTGCCTCATTAAGGGGATATTCACACAGTTGGCAGCAGCTACTGCTGCAAAGGGGACCCAGCGTGCCACAAGACTTGGGGCTCTCTGTAGGGAGAAAGAGAATGAGGTTAGGAGTAAGAACTAGACATATCTGTAACAATGAAGAAGTAAGAGCACATGGCACTGTGGATGCTGCAGTGCTGTGCCCTAATAAAGAAGAATATTCTGCTTTCTTTGATTTCTCATAATCTTATCTTAAATAAATACTCCATTGCTTACACAAATGCTACTTTACAGCTAAAGCCACAAGGAAGGGCATAAACATACAGCAAAAACAAGCGGCACACAGGGATGGAAAACCTTTCCCATATTCTGTGCCGCAGTGCCCAGGGCCAGCTGATAAAGCAGAAAAAGTCCTTAGTCATGCTGCCCCCTTGTGGTTAGAAGAATTAGACTTCTACAACAGTACCTTAGTGTAAAGGTTGAGTCCCACAGCAGTTGCCAAGGCAGTGCTGGTTGCAGTGAAATAAGCCACTCCAATTTGCCTAGAATTGTCCAAAGGGGATACAAAATAGTCCCATCAACAGTCAATTTCAGCTCAATGTCAGTTATGCAAGAAAGTAATAACTCACATCACCATTTGTGGGAAATGTATTCACTTGTTTATACTGCTGGGTTTTAGGTTCTTCTTTCTCCACATGCCTACCTTGGAAAATCAGCAGCTTCTCTCCAGCACCCCTACACTAGTGGCTCTTTAGTACAGAAGAAAAGGAAACAACTCTTCAACTCTTCCAGGTCTAGCTCTATGATATAAGGCTGGCTGGGAATGCTTGGCCCTCCAAAGGTTCTTGGGTTGTCATTCCCATCAGCCCTCAGAACTGGCTGTGCCAACTACAGATGGCAGAAATGGCATCTGAGCAATAACTAGAGGGCCAAACATCCCCAAATTATGATCTAAGAAGTTTGAAAGCAAAGAATGGATATGAAGTGGCTGTGAAGTACCACAGAGTGAGCATCAAATCATTCAAAAACAGCCATTCTGCCAATTCAGCTGAGCATCAGATTCCACATATTCAACCCACTAGATACAAAGATGTGAATAGGTCACACACGGAAGCAAGACCATAAGGCCCTTATCCATCTGGATTTTGTTCTTCCAAGACTACTGCCAGCCCTGTCTCATAAGGAGACAGTGTCGGAAGCACTATAATGTACATCGTACTGATACCTTATAATGACTAACAAGCACATGTCAGTTTCCCCCGATGGGTTCCAAATATACCATCCCCTCATGATTTATCTAAACTGCTGCAGATGATAAAAGCACACTCCAGTTCCAGCCAACCTGGCATACTAGGTAGCATAAGCAGAAGAGACTATGTCATTGCAAATACTCACTTCAGTGAGATAGGATTGGCAGCATTCCGGTTGGTGTAGTTCACAATGGCATTGAAAGACTGGTTCACCCACTGCCAGAAAACAACAGCTGGAACTGTCCTGTAGGGTGAAGAAAAGAAGATCCAGACCCTAGAACAGGTCCTGACATTCATCTATATCGGTGGAGATTATACAGCTTGCGTGATCTTCTGTTCTGGTCTAGAGTGCTCACTAGTAGTTCTCTCTTTTTAGAACTAGACTAAATTCAGATCATCATATTGTTTATTACTGAAATGCGAAATGTGAATCTACTATTGAAATATCAGAAATAAACTCTCCATACACACACATACAAACATACATATACACATACTTTTTCTTTTATATATGTTTATATATACTTTTTTCTTTTGCTTGTGTGTGCATAAACATATATAAAAATATGAACTGAAGTATCAGAAACAAACCATATGATGGTGTACGTTCAACACAAAACTTTTATATATGAGCCAGAATCCTATTAGTTAGTTATGCTGGTATAAATGCAATTGCATAAACTACAGTGGCATTTCCCACCAGCTGACAATCCACCCCTTGTATTTTTTGTCCTGTGCCAGTTGCACGAGTCAGAGCATAGTGAGAATTACATGCAGCAACTCATTATTCATTCATTCATTCATTTATCCATTCATTTATTTATATACTGCCCATCTGGCAGCCAAGGCCACTCTGGGCAGTTTACAAGTAACATAAAACAACAAAGTAGCAAAATAACAAATAACAACATCAATACATTAGGGGCACAAATCAAAAGTCATAAAGTGCGGTGAGGATAAAATTACAAAACAATAAATACAGTTAGAAGTGTAGAAAAACATTTGGCAGTAATTCTCCACTGCAATTTACATCACTTCACAGATGATGGCATAACTAACCAATAATCAAGTAAAACAAAAGAAGAACAATAGGACGGACACCTCATTTATAAGCATTACTCAAAAAAAGGCCTGTTGAAATACAACAGCCTTCACTGCCTGGCAAGAAATGATTAGCAATGCAGCCAGGAAAAATTACAGTATTTTGAGATGCGGTTCAGAATTGTGGGGCGCCCTCTAAGTGATCATTCTTTTGGGCCCAGACAGTCGAGAGTGCTCAGGTGGATTCTTATGGGTGAGGTAATTCTTGAAGTTCCATGATTTCAGAGCACTTGGGATCACATACCACAATCAAGCATGGATACCAATCTCCGTTTAAAATACAGTGGGGTCTTGACTTAAGAATGGCTCGAGTTAAGAACATTTTGACTTAAGAACCACTCTCACAGGAAAATATTGACTTGACTTAGATTTGAGTTAAGAACTAAAAAAAACCACGTGGGAGGCAGGGAAAGTGCAAAATGTGAACTTTCAGTTAACTGTTGGCCAGTGAAAAGGGTGCCTGTCTGCTTCCTCACTCCTCCCAGTGTTTAGAGAGTGGATTGGGAGACAGTCTTCAGACTGCCTCGTACTGTACTGCCTGGACTGTATTTTCCCTGCCTTCCCTGAACCTTTCTTGACCTAAGAAAAAAAAAAAAAACAAAATATCCCCCTCTAGTGGTCGAAGGCGGAATAGCAGCTTCCCATTAGGACGGAAAAGAGCAAATACGGATCAAATGGTTTTCAATGCATTCCTATGGGAAATGCAGATTTGACCTGCGAACTTTTTGACTTGAGAACTGCCTTCCAATACGGATTAAGTTCTCAAGTCAAGACCCCACTGTAATCCAGATAATCAGCTCTTAACAGATAACCCAGTCCAGTGCAGATAATCACCCAGATAATTAGGACCAGTACATTTGCTGTGTAACTGGAGACAATTTGCAGGATAAATGCATTTAGATGAAACTACTTTTAGCAGTGAATGCACAAACATGCACACATCTGGTGAACGACTGATAATGCAACTAGCAGGTAGTAGAACGGATAGGGTCCCAGATCTTTAAATTCCTGAGTTAGGGAGATCTTGTGCCCGAAGACTTGGCTATGGCACAACGGTGAGCAGTCCCAGTTATTTGTTTTTTGGGGTTTTTTCCTTCCACTTTTTTCACTAATCCCAAAATTCTTAAAGGAACAAGAATCCCATTTGGAAAAAGAAAAAGGGAGACCTGCTGTCATACAGCCATTTTTGTTTTCAACTAAAACAACATGTGTAGGGCAAGGAGTGCAGTCCTATAGCATCATCAGAAGACTTGTACTGATAAACAACTACTGAATACTGTATATCTAGGAAACCCTGGCAAAAGTCACCATAAATTGGAATCAAGCTGAGGCCCAAGATTATTATTAAGAACACACATATTTCTGGACTGGTGGTGAAGACTTTATATTTTATTCAGGATCCTAATTTATTATTCATCTGTGGTTATTTTATATGCTTCCTAATTTTGCTGTGTATAGTATTTTTAGAATACATTCTAGTGATTTTAGATAAACTGCATAATAGACATATCAAAAATACATAAAGAGTGCCAGAACATTTAGTTTTGCTTCAATTTCATAAATACACCCAGATTCTGTGTTATATAACCACCTTCTACTCAACTCTATGCCTCTTCATCAGGCAGTAAATGATTCAGATAATTCCTGCATAATTACAATATAATTATTTAAAATAATTACATATCTTGCCCTTTCAGCAAAGCAATGAAGCTGACTTCTCCAAAGCGGAGTTTTCCAGGGAAGAATCAGCAGTGGTGGGATTCAAATAAATTAACAACAGGTTCTATGTCCTAATGACCATACAATCAATCAATCAATGCCCAGGACAGTGGGATCTGATGAGGGTTTCTTCCACAGTGGTCTCCCTACTGCCTATTATCACAACTACTTCTCACATGATTAAGATATCTGGATAAGTGTATCTGTTTGAGCATACCGCTGCTGTTACCTTCACCGTGGGCATGTGCCAAAAACACACACACAAAAACACACCTCACTGTGGGTGTTTATGACCAAGTTTGACTGAGAAGTGACACATCTCTCCTTCCTTTTACCTCCTATTTCGCCCTATAGTTCACCAGTAAAAAATGCTTCACTCCCCTTTCCTGCTCCTGAAATGACTGATAGCCCTGTTTGCTGTTACCTGGAGGCCGCCTTTGCACACCTGTTGAGGAGTTATCCCTCCCCCCGCTTCCTTCTGGCTTGGAAGGGATGGTATCTTTTCAGTCTGTCACCACTCCACCTCAACCCCACCACCTCAATCGGTCCTTCAGTTACTGACTCCTCTGAGGTCTCCTCCTCCTCCATCTTTCCCCTCCCCCCCACGGCCACCGCTTCTCCTCGCCAGTCGCTTTGAGGGGTGTTGGTGTTGGCACTGGTGGTGGTGATGGTTTCCCTCAGAGCCATGGCAGGCTCCCCCTCCCCCACTCACGCCTTGTCAATCACCCCCGCTCTCTGCCATGGGCTTTCATCCAGTGACGTCAAGGACTCATCCCCCCCTTTCCCCCAGTGATGCCTCTGCTCTTTCCAGGGCTTTATCTCTCTCACCCACACCCCACCTCCGAGGAGGCAGTTAATTGTGCCCTCCCCCCCGCTCGTTGCTGGTCACCTGGCCCTTCCTCCTTCATTCATCATAGGCCAGCAAACGGTTCTAGGAACCAATAGTACATTTAGGAATCGGTTCTATAGAACAGGTGCGAACTGGTTGAATCCCACCTATGGAAGAATGCATCAGTTCAATATCATAGATGTTTCCATTTCTTAAAAAAGCTTCCTGAACTATTTTTGCCATTACAAAAACTGCCCCCAAAACATAAAAATCAAAACCTTGAGGAAGAAATGAAACAATGCTAGTTGTCTGTGGCGTGACTTCAATGTCTGAATCAGGTTCTTTCTCCAAGTAAAAAGCAGACCGTGGTTTTAATTATTGCTAATTCACATGAGACACACTTCACAGAAATTGAAGTATGATGCTACAAAGCATATTTTATGTTTTAAAAGCCTAGCTGCTTTCCAAATTTACTGGCCTGTTCATCTGTTGTGCAAATCAGTTATATAATTCACCTATTTTCCTATCTCCCTAGATGCCTCCCTTTAATGTGTCAGCTTCTAGTTTTGGTTTTAAACAACAGAGGACACTTTGCTCAATATGAATGTCTTAGCATATACTTGAATGTTCATGTAATAGGCATTCCAGAAGCTTTTGGCAACCATCAGTCACCTTTATTAACAAAAAAGATGAATGATACAAGGAACAATATGGTACAGTCTATACCAATGTGGTTGCCCTCTGAATGTGTTGGATTACTATTTTCATAACCCCCTAGCATCTTTGAACATGAATAACCAGAGGTTGGAACATTACTTTGTAGATGTCTGTTACTCATCTCTTTGATAGCACCATCTTTCTAAATGACTTGGATGATGGCACGGAGAGGATGGTCATCAAATTCACAGAGAACAGCAAACTGGGAGGGGTAGATAATATTTCAGAAAACAGAACCAGGATTTATGATGCTCTTAAAAAGGTAAAGGAAAAGGTTCCCCTTGACAGTTTTTGTCCAGTTGTGTCTGAGTCTAGGGCGGTGCTCATCCCCGTTTCCAAGCCACAGAGCCAGTGTTTTGTCTGAAGACAATCTTCCGTGGTCACATGGCCAGTGCGACTTCGACACAGAATGCTGTTACCTTCCCACCGAGGTGGTCCCTATTGATCTACTCGCATTTGCATGCTTTCGAACCACTGGGTTGGCGGGAGCTGGGACAAGCGATGGGCGCTCACTCCATCACGTGGATTCGATCTTACAGCTGAAGATCTACAGACCTTACAGCACAGAGGCTTCTGCGGTTTAACTCGCAGCGCCACCACGCTTAACAGATTGCAAAACTGGGTCTAAACAAAATTAGTTGCAAAATGTGAAGTTTTACTTTAGGCAAGAAAAAACAGATGCACAAATATGAGATGGGAAACAACTGGCTTAGCCAGCTGTACATGTGCAAAGGACTGAAAGATCTTAGTAGATCACAAACTAAACACGGGTCAGTACTGTAATGTGGTAGACAAAAAGTGAATACATCAACAGAAATATACTGTCTATAAGAAAGGAAAGTAATAGCACCATTCTACTCTGCCTTTGTCAGATATGTCCTCGGCAACTGTGTTCATTTCTGGGCACCACAGTTTAAGGAGGAGATCAACAAGCTACAATGTGTACAGAACAGGGGCCCAGAATGTTAAAAGGTCTGGAAACCAAGCTCTCTAAGGAATGGTTGAGAGAGCTGAGTACCTTTAGCCTAGAAAAGAGAAACCTAGAAGCAATATGACATCTATTTTTAAATACTTAGAGGGCTGCTTTTTGGAAGATGGGGCCAGGTTGCATTTGTTGTTCCAGAGGGTAAGGCATGAAGTAATGAATTCAAATTATGGACATTTTATTTTATTTTATTTTATTTATATGCCGCCCACACTACCCAAAGGTCTCTGGGTGGCTAAGCATTAGGAAGAACTTTCTGACAATAAGAGCTCTTCCAACAATTCAGTGCACTGATTGCAAGGTCATAGATTCTCCTTTTAAAAAGAGGTTGGATGGCCATCTGTCATGGATATTTTGGCTGTTGAATTCCTGCATCAGCAGGTGCTACAACTTAGTGCCTCTTCGGATCGCTTCCAGGTCTATCATTCTACGAGTCTATGAAAGCACTACTCAAATACTTGGAAGACTGGCATATAAAGGAATGGCAGGATCTGTTCTTGATCATCCCAGAGTGTAATAATGGGCTCAAGTTACAGGAAGCCAGTTTTCAGTTGAATGTTACCCAAAAGTAATATATAACTTGTAAATGCATCATTCCACATTCTGAGGATAAGAAAAGCTTACAAGATTATGTTTAGATCACAAATACCTGACAGGAACACACACCCAAAATTCTTTGTCTCATGAGGAAAGTAGTCCAAGAGAAGTAAATTCAAGATAGCAGGAAGGGAAGTAAAGAGCCCTCTAAACTTCAGCAAGAGTATCCTTCCATACCTGTAAAACTGCAGCATGCAACCAGTGATGGCCATTCCTCCAGGGACCTGAAATGACATTCTCCCTATTAAATTCATCTTCTCCCCTGAATCAGGGTGGAAAGCTGAGTCATAAAGCTTCTTGGCATAATAAAGCTTCTCCTCACTGGTTCCTGGGGGCACCACACCTACTCTGTAAGTATGAGAAAAAAAATTATCCCAGTTTTTATTGTTTCAGTTCCTCTGGCCACTCAGTTGAGTAGCACCCACCTGCTGGCCCGCCTCTGTAGACTATACACTGCAAACTGGGAAAAGCTCTTTCTAGAAGCAAGTGTACTTGCAGAGGACTTGGACAGCATCCATATTCTCTGTGGATGTGAATACACAATGTAGACCATGACTACTTCCCTCCAAGAACTTTTCTGTAACTCTACGTGGAGCTTGCATACCCTCTTACCACCCGTGTAGTAAAAGAAGTGGTGATCATTTAAAGGGCAGCTATTTTTACACATTTTAATGTGCATGCAGCTGTTTTTAATGCATTTTAATGTTCCTAAATCTTCTGCACTGGGGATCCCCTGCTGTCCCTCCCTCAGCAGAATCATCACCATTTTAAGAAAGCAGCCAGCTACAGTGGTGCCTCACATAGCGTCGTTAATCCGTGCAGCAAAAATCGCTGCTAAGCGATTTCGTCGCTATGCGATTTTAAAAAGCCCATAGCAAAGCATTAAAACCTGTTTAATGCATACCTATGGGCAAAAAACTGACCTTAAAGCAAAGACCCCCCATACAGCAGCCATTTTCGCTGCCTCTTAAGTGAGGAATCCATGCGAAAACACAGCAGGCAGCCATTTTTTTTACCCGCGGCCATTTTGGAACCGCCGATCAGCTGTTAAAAAATCATTGCTTTGCGATGATCAGTAAGCGAAACAGGGAACCGATCATCGCAATGCGAAAAAACCCATTTAAAACATTGCAATACGATCGCTTTTGCGATCGCAAAATCTTCATCGCTATGCAGTTTCGTCACTAAACGGAGCACCCATTAAGCGAGGCACCACTGTATTTTACCAATAAGACACACATTACAGTCTGTATTCACAGGGCTCAATGGTGGAAGAATGCATTCTTTCAAAATTTCAAACCATACACTGGCCATAGACTGAGTCTGAGTTTGAAGCCTCCTTCCCAACTCAATGACCTACAGCAGCATCAGTACTGGAGGGGGGCTTTAATGCTAACCAACATCATTGGTTTGTAATTTACTTGTTTGTGAATGACTTTATATGTGGCTGAATTATATGACATAGTATTAATTCCTACAGGTTGTTACATAAATAGGATTACTGCAAAGGACTGAGAAAGGGCAATGTGGAGGTAGGTGGATTTGAGATATTGTTATTTTACTGTACTCAAACTAATAAGAAAATTAAACAAAAAAATAAGAAAGAAGTGACATGCTAAAGCCATCATGAGCCGCAGAACATCATCCTACTTCGGTAGGATGGCTTCAACCTTTTACTATATTCATTTGTTTAAAAGGTATTTTCCAAGCTCTGCTTTAACCTTGCCCCTAAACCTTTTCCCAGGTGAGCTGTAGTATGACGAGTATGTATGTATATATGTGTGTATGTGTTTTACCATTTAGTAGCATCCTTGATGGTTACCTGCAGCTCTCCACCAATGTCTGTGCCATGTCTAGCTCATGCTCTGACACAAACAAAGTCCTAGGGTCTGTGATGTTGAAAAAATGTTTCACACGCCCTGTAAACGTGCTCTGGTCCCAGCGAGGGGCATCAATGTTAAACGTGGTGACACTGGCAGTCATCTTCCTGCAGAATGGGGAGGACAAGGACGCAAAGAGCAAGTCACAGGTCAGAATAGTAATTCTGCGATTTCCCCCAACAGACCAAGCATTAGAAGTATCAGCTGTTCATTCTGAGGAGGTAACTTACTACCCTTTAGAAGGTGTGAGACACTGAGAAAAGGTGTATTTATTATTAAGTTTTGCCTTGTGGATTTATCTGTCCTTCTGCCCACCTTCCTCTCCTATGTGTCATGGGGGAAAACAAGAGTTCTGCTCAAAGACAGCAACTGGGGAAAGAGACTGGTGGGCAATGGAGCTGTGGCATGTTCTATTTTTCTTAAAGGATCATCTCCAAAGGAAGACCTCACCACCTTAGTCAATACACATGAATCATCTTCAGATGTTGTGACCCACCCAGAAACAATAGAGCAGCCTTATTTTCAACATATTAATGACCTCACTTTTCCTGAATTCAAGACAATACCTGGACCTTTTGTCACACCTCTCTGCAAAATGGTAGGGGTGCAACACGGAGGAAACTCAGGAAGAACAAGCTCTTCAGGGACCAGATTTGCTGACTGAGTGATCTGAGCCGGGGTGACCAATGTACTGCTAGACACCTTTCCAAGAATACAAGTGGTAATACTCATTGTGATAAAGAAGAATAAAGAATAAATGTTGATATAGGGACTTGTAGTTAAGTGGATATCCAAACCATACTTTATATGCTAGCAATGGATGACAGTTACATTTATAACCTGCTTTTCTTCCAATAAGCATGTGACAAGGCTTTCTTTTAAAGTGTGCAGCTGGATGCAAAAATGCCCAGTTGGAAAAAATGTGAATACTTGGAAAAACAAAGAAAACATAAGAAAGGTTATACAGATCGATTTATTAAGAAACAGAAAAACAGGCAGTGTCATATATAGCACATTTTGTGCTCATACTGTGTCCAATTGCATAGTTCAAAAAAATCCTGCAAGGCCATGTACATGGCTCTGCTTCTCTGCGCTAGTCCTATAACAACTCCTCGAGTTTCATGGATCACTGGGGTGTAGAATCTGGTGTGAGAAAGGGGGTGAGAGGAATCCACCAGCTGCCCATGATGTGCCATCCCATCCACCCTGGAAAAGGGAAGGTCAAATGGAGAAACAGGAGCTAGAACGCACCAATAGGGAACAGAATGAACAGACATTTTAAGAGTGAAAAAATGTGGAAAATGAGGAGAACAGGTGGGGGGAGGGGAAGATTCGGGAGGAAGGCTAGAAAGGCAGGATAAAAGGAGGAGGGGCAGAGAAGTCAGGAAGGATGGAGAGTAAAAAGAAGGGAGAGAAGGTCCAGCCAGAAGGGTGGGAATGAACAGAGTTAGAGAACCCCTGAACTGGGGAATAGGAATAAACTGATAATTCCTGGGGTAGAAACAGAGAAGAAGAGAAGGAAGCGAGTACCTCAGAAACCCTCATACTGGAGGGAGAGAGAAAGGAGGGAAAGAGGGAACAAGTGTTGGCCCAGGAGGGGGTGGTGAGAGGCAAATGGAAGAATGATGGCTGAGGAACTCCTTTGTTGGGACCCACTCCAAGTCAGAATTGAAAGCTTCAGAGAACCCTGGGGGACCACAGAGGGTGATGAGTGATGGAGGCATGAGTTAATGCCATTGTTGCTGATGCTGCTGTCACCGGGAACCACACTGGGACTAAAGACAGAGAATAAAGGCCTTTGGGTTGGTGAACAGGAAAAGATCCCCTGAGATGGACAAAAATGCTTAGAGTGCTTTCCTCTCCCCATTGAAGGTGGAAAAAGCTTTACTTGTTGAAGATGTGCCTGCTGACTATTTCTTAATAAATGTTAACTGAAGCAAGATGACTCCTGAGAGACTTTTTTAGAAGGGGAGCTAGGGGAGAGCTACCCAAGATCCTTCACAACTAGATCTCCCAAGTTCCAGCTCTCTTACCTTTGTGTGTTGTTCAGATTTTATAGCACTAGCTCCCAGTTCTGGATGTTCAAATGTTGTTGGGCAGCAACTCCCAGACCCTATAACCACGGACTATTGGCTATTGGCCTCCCCCGCCAGTTAATTTCTAATATTCTTCTCCTTTTCTGTTATGATTTATTTTGTCTTTCTTTCCATCTTGGAGAAAATTTTTCTAGTTGTGTAAACTATATATTGTGTTGTAAACTGCCTAGAGTGGTCGCAATGACCAGATAGGAGGGGTATAAATGGAATGAATGAATGAATGAATGAATGAATGAATGAATGAATGAATGAATGAATGAATGAATGAATGAATGAATGAATGAATGAATGAATGAATGAATGAATAAATAAATAAATAAATATGCTAGCATTGTATCCTGAGAAGTAAAGTCTCACAACCTCTGGAAGCCCAAGTCTGAGCTATTGGTACTATTGCACTGCATTACTGTAGGATGTTTGTGAAAGTATTTCTGGTAATAAAACTAAACCAAAACTCTCCAATGTAGTGTTACATGTGTCTATACCAAAGTAAATCACTTTACTTTCAGTGTGACATACTAATAAGCAGTTACTGTACAGACCTGCACCCTTAATTAAATTCCACCCTATCATATGATACCACAAAGTCAATGAATCTGAAGTGGGGCTATATGAGGCCTTCAGATTTGACAGTGGGACTGCAACCACATCTGATCTTATCAGCATAGTTAATTAGGACAAGTGAAGAGAATTGTGAAGTCCAAGATCATCTGGATGGCCATAATTCCCCATCCTAATACTGTACAGCTTATCCAGGGGTTCACAAACTGCTAGACTCAATGCTTTCACAGCAGATAACTGCTGATTCATAATGTATGAAGAAGTCATCATCCAAAGGTTTATTCAAATTTATACATTTGTTGCTTTTCTGTTAAATCATCAAAAGAAGCTGGAATGAGAAGGAAATATACATTGACTTAACAGATTGTTTTGGATACACAGAGCACAGATGGACAGTAAGCTAAACAGGAGACAACATACACTCTCTGCTGTATCCCAGTTTCACAGTACAACTTCTCGTTCACAAACTGCTAGACTCAATGGTTTCACAGCATATAACTGCTGACTCATAATGTATGAAGAAGTCATCATCCAACGGTTTATTCAAATTTATAAATACATTTGTTGCTTTTCTGTTAAATCATCAAAAGAAGCTGGAATGAGAAGGAAATATACATTGACTTAACAGATTGTTTTGGATACACAGAGCACAGATGGACAGTAAGCTAAACAGGAGACAACATACACTCTCTGCTGTATCCCAGTTTCACAGTTCTCCTCTTGAAGTATTTAAGAATGCTAATGAACTAGTCCTAAAGAAATTTTATGTGAATGAATAATATAAGGTTCTGAATGCTATGCACTGCAGTTTTTTCCACCCACATTCAGCATCACAAACAGTATACAGTGGACCCTTGACTTACAGACGGCTTGACTTACAGACTTTTTGAGTTACAGACTTCTCTGGCCACAAAATTTAGGTTTGACTTGCAGACTGAGATTTGACTTACAGACCAGAAAAAAACCAAAATGGAACAAAAACGGCCTGTTACGGGATTAATCGGTTTTCAATGCACTGTAGGTCAATGGTGACTTGACTTACAGACTTTTTGATACCCACATTCAGCATCACAAACAGTATATGGTATAGGCATTCCCTATACCATAAAACAAGAAAAGTAGTAGATGAAACAGGTGGAAAATGTTGGTCTTCTTTTTGAAGGGGTTAAATCAGCAGTAAGGTCTAGAATGGTGAAGGTGGACACCATGCCCTCCAGATGTTTTGGACTACTACTCCCATAATCCTGATACATTGGGAATGCTAGGGCTGGCTTTTATACTTTGGAAGTAGACTCCAGAACATCTGGAGGGCATCAAGTTAACTTTCTTTGTCAAAACACAACGATGAACCAAATTAAATTCACTGTTGCAAAAAGCAGAACTCCCTCCTACTTGGAAGACATTCAGTCATCTAGCTCTGAAATTCTGGATTTTTTCTAAAGCATTCATATCCCAAACACATAAAAGCTTCCTTTTAAAGTTCTTTCTTTCACCAGATACTGTCATCACAGGCGGGAGAGAAAAGAATATAAAATGAAAGATATTCAAGATGCTTAAAAATATAACGGTAGAGATGGGGGCATTAATATTCATATACAAATACCCGCACCCAGGTAGAAATAATGAAGGTCTGGCTCCCTGGGACCGGACTGTCCACTCACCCATCCGCCGCTGCTGCGGGCTCCGCACTCCCTCCAATTGCTCCAGACCTCGCGGTCAGCTAGCCACTCATCAGCCTGGCAGGGAGGTTCATCTTCCCTCCTTCTGCCAGGAGTGGCTAGTCAAGCATGAGCTCCAGACCAAGTGGAGGGAGCACAGAGCCCACGGCAGCAGCAGAACATGAGCTCCAGACCGAGTGGAGGGAGCACGGAGCCCACGGCAGCAGCAGATGGGTGAGTGGACCCTCATTATGTCCACCTGTACAGGGGTATTCATATACAAATATGAATACCCCCATCTCTAATTAATAGTCAAGAAGTGTACCATATTTTAGTTGCAACTTTGTCATGTCAAGTTATCTTGCTCAGCAAGAATATAGATTACCCTTGTGGTTACAGAATAATTAGATCTCTAAAGACACGTCTAAGGCAAAACAGAATTAAATGCATGTAACCATACACTGCCCTTGACCTCTGAATAAATATTCAACTGCTTCTGTTAATGGACAGCATCCTCTGTTAAGCACAAGACAGTCATCTAAAATTCCAGCCTGCCCAATAATTTCCTGAAATAAATGAAGTTATACTAAAAGTGATTTTGAGGCTGTAAGCAGAAGAAACTGCTTATGGGTAAAAGCATGGCTAGGAGAAGTGCAAGGAATTGAAAAGAAAAACTGTTTTGTTTATTCCTTTAATTTTTTCTTAAGTGTTTGGAGAAGAGATTCTCTTGAGAAAGTAACTGAAGCCTATTTAAAACAAAGATATAGATACATAAATGATTCTTTTAGAGCAGATGCAGGACCTAACTCAACAGTATTATGAATATATATTCTAAACATCACTTCTAACATTATCTATATGTGATATTAAATATACTACATTGTCCTCCAAATATAAATTTTCCTACCAGTAAGGGAAACACTGTCAAGGAAGAAGAGCAAGAGAATAATAAAATGTCTAATATCAAACTCAAGATACTGGCATTAGTAGCCAGCAGGTACAAAGAACAGAAAAAAGTTTGGAGAGCCAGAGGCCTTCCTCCACAATACTGAGTAAATCCTGTGTTTCAGATATCCCTATGGGCAGTAATATAATTGCTGCACCCAATGAAGAGCAGCACTCAAAGCAGTATTTTACGTATCATCCTTAAAAAGCATTAGCAGAATTGCCTGTAGAAACATTCTGTACAAACCTTAAATTTAGTATTTTGGGAAGAAAGGGCAATGTGGGGGTGAGGTGGATATGATTGGTTTCACATTGAAAATGATGTTGCAGCTACCAGGGCTAGGAAAAGATAAGTGTTTGAACATGTTGACAGCACCTGGTAAAGTATCAGACGTCAGGAGTAAAATGAAGCCACTATGGTGCCAAGCAGGAATTCTAGTCAATGAAGAATGAGCGTTCAGTGCTCTGGAATAACTGGCTTTCAGAATATGGCCAGGATTATAATGCTTCAAAGACCTGCAAATGCACACAAAATCCATTTAACAGGTCACTGTTGCCTTTTCATGATCTTATTAGATCACAAGCTCTTCTTTCAAATCACATTTGAAAGTCAGCACGGATGTACCAAAAATGAACACCACACACCTTGTTTGGCTTCACTCACCTCTTTTCAGTTAGATACACATTTGTCTTCAAAAGTCCTAACTCAGCAGCCACTAGTCCAAAGGTTGACAGTAGTGAATCCCATGTAATGAATTACTGTTTGGGATAAGGAAAGGGAAATAAGTTACTTTGAAAAATATTGTATGGATTATTCACATTCCTAAATTCTCCCCCACCCCAGTTCACTTGCTATTACAAGATCATTAATTGAAGGTATTTTCAGGAGATTTTTGGAAAGCGAATTTCTAAGAAACAATTTGAAAGGAATGTGCAAACTAAGTACAGTAATGTTAACCCTCACTTGCATAATAACATTTCTAGGCTTCTGTTTTCTGCAGGAGCTACTCTGCAGAATGTCAGTTGACTGGCGTATCAGACAATTATGAAGATTCCCACACATTTTGCATGAAACAATGCTGTATCTCAAGTAGGGGGGAAAATAATACCAGGATTGCTTTTTCTTTCTTTCTCTGGCCCTTGGTTTTTTGTTACAATGCAAAAATATATATATGATGAGCAACAAAAGTTTAAAAAACTAAAAAGTGTAATTTTAAAAGGACCAAATAAATATTTAACTACATAAATATGACAGTTACTTTACTTTTTTTAAAACCCAAACATGTTTGTGGTTTAGGGCCGGACTGAAGTAGGTACAGTATGTGTATGATTAGAGGACAACAGGCAGCAGGGAGAGAGGGCAGAACTCATGAGGCAGCAGAAACAATTACTATGGCTCTTGTATATTCACTTGCACCAGTAGCACAATGCAACGCCCAACTCAGCTACCCCTGAAATGCCCGAGGCCAGAGCTGCTTCATGTAGTCAAACCACATTTTGTTTGGTCATTTTTGCATGTGTCACCTAACATGGTTAGCTCATGTTTCTAAACACTGTTCTGTTTGAACAGACCACTAACAGTAACCCTTTTGGAAATGTCTGCCTCAGCAACAACATCCCACCTCAAGATGTCTCTTTGCCAGTGCAAGTCTCTTTGATATATCCGGGATAATTTGTGTTGTGGTTTCTACAGCACTTGTCAGAGTCATTTCTGAAGGGCTATAATCCAAAATACAAGATGAGAACAGTTAGACTAAGTTATCCTATTTGTTCACCTAATATTTTGTTTGGGCTAACACTTCATTAGGTTTTGAAGAGTCTTCCCATGTTCCATCACACTACCTAAGTGAGTAATCTTCACCCCTGAAAAAGAGGGAGGAACAAAATAGTAGAGAAGCCCTAGCAATGGAATAACATAGAGGTCTATGGAATGAACTATAGTTGTAGGAGTAGCAGTAGAGGTGCCTCATAGTGTATGTGGTATGTTTTGATGCAGGACATTCTCAGGATATCTGTGAAGATTCTCAGTCATCCAAGTGAGGTTATCTGGAAGTTGAGTCATGGCAACTGGATTTCTTTCTTATTAGGTTGAGCTAAACTTTCATCTGTCCCCAGAAAGATCAAACCACTGTTAACAACCCATGACAATGAGTGGACAAGGACTGCAGAAGTGAGATTTTCACTCACTCACCCCCAGTCCTTTGTCCTTCTAAGGAGCGAATTCAGACCAGGGGGAAGTGAAACCAAAGTGGGGGATATATCAGGGGTCTCCTACCAACTCCTCAGACTGAAGAAACTACTTGGATGAGTAGCGAAATGTTTCAGTCTAATAAGATAGGGATCTGATTAAAAATACAAAGCAATAATGATACACATTTTTTTCCAATGGAAACAAAAATAACAGCTTCCATCAAACTATATTAGAACCAGTTCTATTTAAAGTGTTCATATCTTTATTTTAATATTTAAAAACCTGTAAGAAAATCTCACTGGAACGACAGATCCTGAAGCTGAGGCTCCAATACTTTGGCCATCTCATGAGGAGAGAAGCCTCCTTGGAAAAGACCCTGATGTTGGGAAAGTGTGAAGGCAAGAGGAGAAGGGGACGACAGAGGACGTGATGGTCGGACAGTGTCATTGAAGCTGCCAACATGGATTTGACCCAACTCCAGGAGGCAGTGGAAGACAAGAGGGTCTGGCGTGCTCTGGTCCATGGAGTCACGAAGAGTCGGACATGACTGAATGACTAAATAACAACAAGAAGAAAATCTATTCATAAAACCTACAACTAATAGATACTTGAACAAGAGTCAGACACGATACCAAATTCCTCAAAAGTTTCTAGTAGTATAGGCATGTTACTCTGTCACAACAAAGCAAACAAACATGCCTTGGAAAAAGTGGACTACAGACTGCAAAGGCTTATGCCAAGGAAGACTTTTCAAATTAGTGAAGATAAAATACAAACTGGGAAGCATTATCAAACTAGCTCCTTTAAATACATGTTTAGACAAAATAGTAGCCCACCAGTGCAAAATGGGATTAAAAAACACTGCAACTACTGTATTCAGATAAAGTCTCAATTGGCTGTAACCATCAGGAAAAGTTACCTTGGCATCACAACTGAAAATTATGCATAAGAAATTATATCCTGGGGATGGGAAGATGTGCAACAAAAGTATCTGTCACAGCCAGAGCCCTGCTTACTTGCCAGGAGCCAGGAAAGCTTTCCCACTCCCCTGCAACCAAGTGCATTAAAGCCTGGCTGGTCCAATTACACTTAATAGCAGAACAGGGAATACAGGTTAAAAGCTGCAGTATCTACATACATTTGGTGTATCTACAAAACTTCAGTGTACAGCCTGAAATCATACAATACAAGAATTTTGCTGTGGCTCAATGAAGCACGATAACTACTCTGGAATTCCAAACAGCACAAAAGTAATTGTCACACAGTACAATGCTATGGATTAGTCTAGTTGGCTCTTAATGATGACCAGATACATTCATAAAGAACTTTCTGAGCTGTAACAGCTACATAGGACTGCTCAGATGGTGTGTACAGTGGTGCCTTATCTGAGCTGTAACAGCTACATAGGACCTCCCTGCTCAGATGGTGTGTACAGTGGTGCCTTGCAAGACGAAAGTAATTCATTCCACGAGTAGTACAGTCTTGTGAAAAGCGGTTTCCCATAGGAATACAGTCTTGTGAAAAGCTGTTTCCCATAGGAATACATTGCAATTCATTCCTATGGGAAACCTCGCAAGAAGAATTGAATTATTTTCGTCTTGCAAGGCATCCGTCTTGTGGGGCAAAAAATCATCTTGCAAAGCACGCCCATAGAAGAAGCCGTCTTGCAAGTCACCAACACGATCACAAAAACCATTCCTTTTGCGAGGCACCACTGTACTTCTTACCAGAGGGAATGGAAAATAATAGAAAATAATGGAAAATAATCCCACCAACATTTACAAATGTGTGCCTATATTCAGTATTAAGTTCCTTCATACTTGTTTGCACTACAGGTCATAGCACCTTAAGAAGCTGCTGTATCCAAAGTCACACATTGAGACCAGTAGTGAAAATAGAGCACCAGCAGCTTTCAAGAACTCTGTGTAGGATTCCTTCCTATTTTAACTAGAAATGCCAGGTCAGCATAGTGGAAAGAAAAGATAAAAGGCAGAGGTCTCTCTCACTTTTGAATCCAGAAGGATAAACTGCATCATCGCCACAATGCAGTTACCTAACTTTGGATCCTCACCCTTATTAGTCTTAAGGACTCTGTTCTTAACGGGCCATTTCTTTAGATAGCAGTAACTACAGGCATTATTGCAATTACCTGTACTCCAAAAAGTGGTTAACACGGGCCCAGTGCATTAGGGAGCCCACCTCCGCATTCTAGATCATTTGCCCTCAAATTCTGCTCTGATTTTCCTTTAAAGCCTTTCAAAATATGCCCATTTATTAAAACGGAACCAAGTGGCCAGCGATTTTTTTTCAGGACCAGCAATAATCTCACAAGGCTGTGCCAAAATGGGCAAGCAAAGACTCGAGCGGAATGATCGCTCGCTTCTTTTTCTTTTTAAAGTAGTCTGGATTCTGGATTCCGCTAGCTTTTTGCAGTACAAAAGTACTCTATGCTATTATGCACCATGGTTTCTGTATCAGTTTAAAACCACCTTAAAACAGCTTTGATGCCCCACTGCTGAGGGGCTGCCCAGGGCGACTGTCCCACCCATGCTATCAGGAACGGTCTTCCAGCGAAGATCACACGCCCGACTTTTCCGCCTCCGAAAGAAGTTCTTCTCTTTTCACCTCTCAGCCAGCCCTCCTTTCCTTTCCCTCCCCTTCCTCCCTCAAGGGCTGTTCACTTTTATTCAAAGGAACCCTAATTCTGAAACTTCCCAAGACAGCTCCTACCGTCGCCTCGCCAAGCGCCGCCTCGCTCGCGCCTCCCCTTTCTAGAGCACATGGGTAGCCCCGCCCCCTCCCGCCGCCTGCGACGCGTGGCCCTCCGAAGCCAATGAGAGCGGGCGCGTCCAAGAGCGAGCCAAAGCCGCGTGATACATAGCCCGCATGCGCGAGAAGCGAGTGGGCGGTCTTCAGTCTAGGAGCGGGTAGGGCTCCTCGCCTTCGCTCTCTGGCCGCTTTGAGTCTCCTCTTGGGCTGACGTTATACGTGGAAGGAATGCAGCGCGCGTGCGCCTGACGCAGTTGCCCATGGTAACCGGGAGCCGCGTAGAGGATGGTGAGTAGGAGATTGGGAAGGAGGGGGAAAGAACGGGTACCCCCCCCAAATGGGGTTGGGGTGGCGGGAGAACAGGGTGCCCTTTACCCTCTTTTTCTTTCTCACTACAGAGCAGTGCCCGAGGGGGGTCGTTCTGCCGGAGCGTTTTGCTTGATGTAAACGAGGAGAGTACAGTAGTCTAATGGGATGGATGAGGAGATGGGCCTGATTTAGGAGAAGGCGTGAGCCGTGTGCCTGATGCTGAGGGAACATCCCAGGATGGTGGTCGTGATGAAAGTGTATGGGGTTGTCAGATAACATTTCAGTGGGGAAAAGTGGATCCCTAAATCATTTTACTTTTGAGAAATGCTATATTACTTGCTGGCATTTAGAACTATGGCGTATGCTAAGTCATATTCACTGTGTTAAAAATATCTTTTTTGTACAGCAATCAGATGTAATCTTATGTAGAAAATAATGTAGCTATTCTTGGGGAAATGCATTAAGAAATATTTTAGGGACATCTCATTGCAGCAGTCCTGGACAGGAAGCAAATTGGGTCATGATGTCCCATGGCTTTTCCACAAGTGTCAGTAAAATAGGGGGTAACTCAATTTTGTCCATTATCTTTATATAGTAGCAACAGAAAAACACTGTTGCATTTTCTGATAAAATTGGTAAGATCACTATTTAATCGTGTGTGCAACTTCCTTTTCTGATAAGCCATCTTACCAGTTTACTTCCCTGTGAGAAGCTCTGTAATCGCTTTTCTAGTGTGTACCTGCAAGGTGTTGTTCAAAATGCCATATAGTTTGGCCAGATAAGGGGAGATTTGCTTCACATAGAGTTCAGTCTAAAGTTTTCAAAAATGCAAATCTCTTTGCTGTCAGGCCTGTTGATCACAGCAGAATAAGTAGGCTCACCTTTTCTATGCAGACACTTTTCCGATATACTGGACTACAGTTCCCATCATGTCAGTCATCATGGTTGATCGCATGAGCAGGGGGTGATAGGGACTGCAACTCAACTCACTAGGATATTGTAGATTAAGGAAGGCTGATTTAAGTCAGTAGTAGCCAGTCAGCAGTACCTCCCCACACAGGTCTATAATAGGCAATCTTAGTAGCACCAGAAGAAGCTGGAGAAAAAGAAAAAAAATAGACACAGCAAAAATGAAGGAGAAGATTTAACTATGTTTATTCCTGTGAGTTCCTTTGGTGGCATATGAGTAATTAGAAATAACATAAATTAAGCATATGCTATAAAGGCTGGGTGAAATAGCTGCTGGTGAATAGGCACACACTGCCGAATGGCTAAGGGAGTAGGTAGGATTGTGCAGTTCAGTAGCTTTGGATAACAGTTCCTGTTACTTCTGGCCATTGGTCATACATGATGGGACTTGTAATCCAAAACATATAGAAGGCAGTTGGCTTACATAATTTTTATGTCCAGTACAGCATTTGGACTAGATTTATGAATAGCATGTTGACTAAAACAGTAGCTCTATGTGAACTGCTGATATCATTTTGATGGAACCTAACATGCTGTGTTAGCATTAAACTGTAGTGCCAGTTTAATATAGGAAAAATATTCTATAAGAAATGATGTGTTGTATTGTAGATAGAAGGTCAGCTTAAGACTTGGGAGGCCTAGGTTCAAATCCTTGTTTGAGCATGTGCAATGTTCAAGGAAGTTTCCCATTGATGGGGAGCAATGGGAAATTATTCTTTTAACATTTCACATACCTTGAAAACTCCGTTAGGTTTACTGTAAGTCTGAAGCAACCTAATGACATGTAACAACATCTCTGTGTTTAAAAAAGTATAGTCATTGGCTTTGTATCTCGGATTGAGAAACACAGGATCGCTGTCTTGTAGGATTTTCTATGCTTTTAGCATCTTCATAATAAACAACAAATCCAAGATCTGCAGATTTCATCAGCATAATTTTACAAAATGTAAATAAAAGTTATATATTAGCAAAGGAAAATGAACTAATATTTGGCAATAGAAAGAGATCAATACTAAGAGATCAGTGAAACAAACAATTCAGTCAGCCAGAAACTCCCATAGGCTTGATGCCTATTTTTGATTTTAAAAAATTGAAAGTAAACTATACCATAAAGCCGTTGAATCATTTGGGGTCTGCATGAGGTAATCACTACAGGTGTTAATTAGCTACCAATATCATGATGTTCTTGATATCAACTCTCATTTCTCCATGATAACTGTAACCATTTTGCAAAGGTTTGATTTTTAATAGAATTTTCACTATTTGGTGTGATTGAGTTTTTTCTTGTTAATTCGCCTAGCATCATATATAATCCTCCCATATCATCAAAGCATATATTAGGGTAACATTGCATGTTTCTGATAAAGTGGAGTGTAATCTGTAAGAATTTATTATACTGTATACTATTTTTTTTAGTTTTTCAAGTACTGTACCACAGGATTTTGCTGCAACAACAACAAAAAAACTACTCCTTTGGGAAGTGATTAGTGAACATATTGCAGAAACATTGTTAACAAAATGTGAAATGGATACATTTGACAAGTAACAGGTTCCATGAGCAGCTTTGAAAACAAAAGCTATAATAAACAGCTTGCCTGATGGAGCCACACAGTACAGTATGTAGAAGCAGTATTCAGAATGATTAGTCATACTTTGTACAATATTTTTCAAGAGCTGTGGCTGAAATGCTGTTGTAAAATGCACAAGAATAGGCCCATTTGCATCAGTGGCATTTACAGAGGAGTTGACTCACAAAATCCCCAGAATTATGTTAAGGCCAATGGTTGTGGGGCAAGGGAAAACACTAGTGCTGTGGTTGTGTATTACCATGGTAGCAACCTAAGTGGCTCTGTTACATGACAGCTGTACTTGATTGTTAGACAAATGCCACATCAACTAAGTAAACATTTGCTTTGCACCAAAGGCAGATATCTTTGGATTTACATTCTAAATTCATTATCAAAGCTTTATGGCTAATCCAGCTAAACAGCAGATATTTACTTCTCTCTTCTAATGGGATTCTGCTCTCTGCTCTTCAGTGATTGGCAGGCCCTCCTTAGTGCTAGCCAATAGCACATTTGGTAGTTCTCTCCATGGCATTGCTTATATGGGTCAGCCTGGTAGGGTACAGAGATTGATTATTACCATTTCCCTTGGTGTGTGGCCCTAATGAACTGCTTAAAATCTTTTGCATTTGGTCTATAAGTGTAGCTTTTAATCTCAGCAGTTATGTGGCACTGAGTAGAATTTAAAAAACCAAATTCAGCATGAATAGTTGAACTATAGACATTTACTAGTATTAATATAGGATTATTACACATAGAGATTTTTTTGCAAACAGAGTGTCAGACTTGCGTTTTGAAAAAAAATAAGTTCTATAAGCATTAGGGACATTATCTTCAACCCCAATGACAGAACCTGAGAAAAGGAAAGGAACAGGCTCCATTTCAGATCGAATGAAGCTTATTATGTAGCAGATTCCAGTTTGGTGGTTGTGAAATATCTGTTGCTCTCCAGTTATGTGTCTATAACCAAAGAGTTTAGACCAGTTTAAGCTTCAGCAGTGAAAATCTCTCTTACTATTTGTTTGGCATGTACAATTTCCTGTAATATCGGTAAATATCTAACACTGTTGTTGATTACATCACAATATATTTTCATTTTGAAATATATAAATGTTAAAACATTCTAAATAGTTTTTGTTAGATGTGTGTTTTTCTGGACTACAACTCTCAAAATTCCCTAGGCAGCTTGCTTACTCATGTCCCAGAAGTCTCCTGTAAGGCAAATCTACTTATAAACAGAGCACACAATTTAAAGGGGAAAGACCACATTTATTGCTGATTTTCTTGCCATCATGCCACAAATTTCAGTAGCATATATGTTGTCCTCCTTCTCTTGCTGGTTTAAGCAGTTGGACCTGAGAAAAATGTCCATTCCACCCTTTATGCAGTATGCAAGCTCAGATACATTATAACAGGTTTATTATTTCTCTGCCTTTATGACAAATTGTTCCCCATACTGAACTACAATCTGTGTTTTGCCTTAGTCTGTTCCAGTCAGACCATTGTGTTGAAAGGATGAAAAATTCAAAACTGTCAGCTAAGCAACACAGCATGATAATAATAGCCACTGATTAGCTCTCACTAGCTAGCCCATAAGAAATAACAGAATTGTGGGAAATCCATTGTATTCTTAGAGGCTTTCACGGCCAGGATCCGGTGGTGGTTCTAGGTTTTTTTGCATGTTTGGCCATGTTCTGGAGAAGGTGTGCTCTTTTGCTTCGGAGTGTTTCCAGTCTCCAGGTCTGTCTGACTGTTTCTTCCCTGTAGAGCAGGGGTCTCAAACATGCGGCCTGGGGGCCAGATGATAGTTTGTGGCCCCCGCCTTGCCTGCCCCCCCCCGAAGCGCCCATATGTCCTCTGCTGTCAAGAGTCAAAAAAAGCCTCGCCTCACTCGCCGGCTCTCCCCCAAGACAGCACCTCTTGCACCCTCCATCCGGAACTGCTGCCTGCCAGTCAACCCGCCTGTCTGCCAGTTGGGAGGCTGCAGTTCCAGAAGGAGGGTTCAAGAGGCGCTGTCTTGGGAGAGAGCCGGCGAGCGAGGTGCGCTGCCAGCCCTTTTCCCCGAGCACCCAAGCTGTCACCGAGCAATGCCTGAGAGGGGAGCTCGCTCCCAGCACATCCTCGAAGAGCGCCTGCTACAGCGCCATCAACAGCAGCTGCCACCACTGCTACCTCTTGCTACCTCTTCCAGCTAAGCGGCTCTCTGGCTCTCTTTCTCTCTCGGCACCCCCAGCACCAGCCTGGCCAGCAGCTGCCTGCTTCAGCACTGGTGCTTCCTCCTCCTCCTCTTTGTCCTGCTTCAGCCGCCTCTGCTCTGGAGGCTGCCTGGGCTTGCCTCGCAAAGTTTGCTCCTCTGTCGTGGTGGGGGTAGCTGCTGCTGAGTGCGCCTTTTTTTGAGGGGGCCCTCAGAGGAAGGTTGCCAGACCTCCGTGTGTGTGTGTGTGCGCGCGTGCATGCATGCACCTGTGGGGGCCCCTGTCCCATTCTGTTTTATTTCGCGGGTACCAATGGGGGCTTTTCTCCTTTGGCAAGGTGATTCTGTGAGGATTTTTTTAAAAAATTATGTCGTGCCCTCCCCCCCCCCCCCGCCTCCGCATTCC